GATCACCTCCTTCGGCCCCGCCGTCACCACCTTCTCCCGGCCGGAGCCCGTCCCCAACCCCAACGACTTTGTGCTCTGGTCCTTCTTCAACGCCATGTTCTGCAACCCCTTCTGCCTGGGCTTCATCGCGCTGGTCTTCTCTGTTAAGGTGAGGTGAAAGTCACCCCCTTCCCCTCCCACCACCCCCCTGCCCGGCTCGGGGGTCCTACCCCCTGCCTTCTCCCACGCCAGGGCTCCCTAATTGCATCTCTTCCCATCTCACCCTGCCCCAGCTCGCCCCACACCTCCCCATGCCCACTTCCTACCTGCCCCAGGACCCTCCCCCTGCTGCCTCCAGCCTCCCCTCGCTGCCCCACGTTCCTAACTGAGGGCCCCTTGTCCTCCCTTGGTGCATCAGGCAGGAGGACCCGAGCAGCACGGTGTGTTCAGTTCTCCTCCCATGGCCTTGCTGAGCTCCCACCTGCGATAAGGAACAGCTGCTCCAGGCACAATTTCCCTTTATTGCCGTGGCAGTGAATCGCTGATCACGGGTGCCCTGATAACGGGAGAGGGGCACGTGTCAGTGTCTGTGGCACCGCAGCACGTGCCACGTGGGCACTCCCACCCAGAGCCCCCCTGCCCAGCTCTGCCCCCCGAGAGGACTGGGCAGTGCCTGGCAAAGCCTGATGGCTTTTAGGAAGGTTCATTAAGAAAATGCTCTCGGGCTGCCACACGCTCCATTTCTGCCGGGCCAGGATGGGTTTCCTGGGGGTGCAGCAGAGCCTGTTGGATCCCAGTGCCAGTGCCTCGCTGCTTGGTGGTGAGGGAGGCCGGGATGTCCCCTCAGCCCACTGCCACCACCCCCACCAACATCTTGTGCCTTGTTTCACCACCTTTCTCCCTCTCCCAACCTGCAGGCCAGAGACAAGAAGATCGCCCAGGACCCAGCAGGTGCCAAAACCTTTGGGAAGACAGCCAAGCATCTCAACATCGCCGCGCTCTCCCTGGGCATCCTCTCCTACATCCTGCTCATCGTCTTGCTGGTTGTCATCTACGTCAACGCACTGCAGTACACCAGGGTCTAACCACACCTCACCCAGCAGTTCCAGGGCCTCCTTTCTCCTTCCCCTCCACCTCACTCACCCCAATCTCTGCTGCCTGACCCATGGGTGAGACGTGTGGCTCCCATGGGACCTTTCTCCCTGCTCCCACATGACAAGGGGGTGTCCTCTGATCATTCTCCCTGTGCACCCCAAGACAACCTTCTTCAATGAACTCACGGGGTGAGCTCACAGCAAATAAAGCTTCTTTCTCATCCTCCTCCTTGGCAATGTCATGCTTTGGGGCTTTCGGGGCATGACTCCCCCCCGGCATCCCCACCTTGGGGACCATAACAGACGAGCAGGAAGGCAGAGCTGAGTGAGGAAGAGGAGCAGGAAAGGGGCTCGGCAAGGGGGTGCCATGTCGTGCTGTCAGTTAGATACAAGCACACACGTCCCCCCCGGGCTTCTGGGGTTCAGAAACCCCCACCCTCCACCCCTCTCAGACCAATTTTTCCACTTCCTCCTGCCCAAGTTCTCCGCCCTCCTGGGCGACATTCCGACCACTGCCCGGCCCTCAGCTCCCGGGCCAGGGGCGATGGGAGGCGAGGATCTCTAAGGTCCCTTTCAGCCCAAAGCATTCCTTGATTTTGTGACG